CATAAATCTGGTCTCGTCCCTGAAACTGCATATAGTAAACTACCAATTATTTGTCTACATCTCTTATTTAAATTTTCATTAACATTTTCATTTTTAAGTAATGACAAATCAAAATTTTGATCCATTGGTGTACTCATTTCATTACAATTACTCATTCCATATCTTTCTAAAACATTTGTTAAATACACACTTTGGTCTAGCTCAACAAAGCCCTGATCTACATCCAAACTTACCCTTATACCTAAAAAATTTGAAATCAAACCAAGATCTTTCATTGCAAAATTTTCGTTGAAAACAGCTTTAAGTTTTTGAATTTCTGTGGTATCTGTACCTAAAATGAGAACATCATCTACATATAATAATACATAAAGCTTGTTTTGCTCAAATATCCTGCAATAAAGACAAAAATCGTTTTCTGATCTTATAAATCCTTCATTTTTCATGACATTATCAAATTTATTATTCCAGCATTTTGGAGATTTTTTAAGACCATATATAGATTTATTTAACCTACAAACTGTGTTACTGTTGTTTTTATTCTTTCCAGGAAGCGACATATAAACTTCCTCAGAAATTTCTCCGTATAAAAAAGCACTCTGCACATCCATTTGAAATATTGGCATTTTTAATTTCAAAGCTGTTACTAATAAAATTCTAAATGTACAAAGTTTAGCTACTGGTGCATAAATATCATTTAATTCATTGCTATTTTCCTGCTGGAAACCACGAGCAACAAGCCTAGCTTTATATTGTCCATCACCCTTGACTTTAAATATCCATTTACTTTCAATTACATTTTTATCATTAGGCCATGGTACCTCCGTCCAAGTGTTGTTTTTGTCAAGAACATTCATTTCCTGTGTTATTGCATGCTTCCACTTTTCAGAGTCTTCTCCCGTCATAGCTTCCTCATACGTAATAGGTTTGTCAAAGGTGAAATAGCTAGTTTCTAGGTCATTATCAAGGTCATTATAGTCTTTTAGCCATGAGGGCCTTTTTATTACTCGGCCCCTTCTGCTTGTAACAATATCATTTGTCACTTCAGCTGCATTATTTTCTTCATTATTTCTCATATCGTCAATGTTATCATTTTCTCTGGTAGTCGCATCAATTTCATTATTTTCATTTTTCTCAAAGCTTCTTTTAGTACCTTCTTCTTCTTGTGTTTCATCCAAAAAGTCTTCACTTACCTGTAATTCCTCCTGCAAATCCAAACTAATCAAATTCTGTTGTTTTTCTTCAACATATTGATTTTCCGGCAAAAATATCAGATCTCTATGAACTTCAACTTTATTTAAATCTGGGAAATAAACTCTGTAGCCTTTCGTTACATTATTATACCCTACAAAAATACCTTGCATACTTTTTGCGTCCAGTTTCAACCTCTTTTCTTTTGGAATGTGTACGGCTACTCTACTGCCAAAAACTTTTAGAAAAGTAATATCAAACGGTTTGTTAAAAAATAGTTCATGAGGGGACTTATCATTGTTTCTACCTTGAGTTACCTTATTTAGGACGAACACAGCTGTGTTGATAGCTTCTGCCCAATATTTCTTTTCAAGTTGCTTAGCATGCAGCATAGTTCTTGCAGACTCTACTAAGGTTCGATTCTCCCTCTCAGCACGGCCGTTTTGCTGTGGAGTATAAGCGCAAGTTCTCTCATGTCGTATCCCATTCTTTGCAAAAAGTTCCTGTAACTCATGATTGATGAACTCCAGTCCATTATCAGTTCTGAAAGTCATCACTTTATTTCCTGTCTGTGTCTCAATATATTTCAAGAAATTTGTAATTTTGGCTTTTGTTTCCGATTTATATTTCAAAAAATTAACAACTCTGAAATTTGAATAATCATCCTTTAAAAGAAGAAAGTACCTTGCTCCGCCTATGGAATCTACCTCAAATGGACCACAGAGGTCAGCATGCACTAATTGACCTATTTTTTGTGCCATTGAGTCACTTTTATTAAATGAAATTTTATGTTGCTTCCCTTCAAGACAATTTTCACAAAAAACCTTCTCGCTTTCTTTATAAAATACATTATTTTTCTTCAAAACAGTTTTTAGCAAGTCAAAATTAATATGTGCTAGCCTACTATGCCAATTTAACAAACTATTAGCTGAATTACAATAAGAAACATTGTTTGATCGAAATGACATTTTAAAAAACTTACCCTGTCTCTCGGCTGTTGCACATACAGCCCCTTTTTTGTCAATTATTTCACTTACATTTTTATTGGACCTCAATGTATACCCTCTGTCCAAGGCTTTTGCCATTGAGAATAGATTTATTTTAAATTCTGGAATAAACAAGACATCATTCAGTTCAGTTTTTATCCAATTCTTCCCATTCCAAGCCTCTAGGCACACTTGTCCCATACCAGCCACTTTTACTATTGAACCATTTCCCATTTCCACAAGTTTATGTACACTATTGTCAATTTTGACAAACAAATGTTCATTGAAGCAAATATGGTCGCTTGCACCACTGTCCAGGCACCAATCTCCTGTTTCAAATTTTGAGCTTCCCACCAAAGCTATAGCTTGTGATTGCTTTCCAATTTCTGTGTTTATGAAAGCATTTGAATTATCACCATGATTTCCACTGCTGTTTTCTCGCCTTTTCTTAAACCAGCACTCGGCAATCAAATGTCCTTGCTTTTTGCAGTATGAACAGACTTTTCTAGGATTTAACCTATTTTTTCCTGCTTTATTATCAGGACATTCCCTTTTAATGTGGCCTGATTTGTTGCAACCAAAACATTTTATGTCTTTTTTATTTGAGAACCGGTGACTTTGACCTGCAAAAGCCACTGGCGGCTCACTTTGCTTCAATCTTTCTTCTTCAATTAACAATCTTGAAGTTAGTTCCTTTAGTGTTTGTTGACTGCTTGGAGTTGACTCCCAGGCACTAACAAAATGCTTTAAATTTTCAGGCAACGACATTAAAATTTTGGTCATCACCATTTTGTCACTCAGCTCTTCCCCTAAGTGCTTTAGGTTTCCTTTAATTTCTTCCAGTTGGGAAATGAACTCAGCCACGTTACTGTGCTGATAATTAAGACTAAAAAATCTTTGTTGCAAAAGATGAACACTTACTTGTGATTTTTGTTCATATATGGACATTAATTTCTCCCACATTTCTGCCGATGTTTGACATGAAATTATGTGTGTCAGTGGTTTTTCTTCCATTCTAACGGCTAATATTTCTTGGGCTTTGGCATCCCTTCGATCCCAATCACCATTAGGATCCGACTGGGGCTTCGGAATTGCACCTGTGACCACCTCAAACAGGCCTTTTGATTTTAACATGATGGTCGTTTGAAATTTCCATGTCGCCCAATTTTCTCCGGTAAATTTAATGCTCATAGACTGCTCCATCTCTTCCTGACGGTATTTTCCACCAATTTTCAGTAATTTTTCACCACTTTTCACTCGCCTTTCCCGCCAAGGAAGTCTTTTTCTAACCTCAATAATTGCTCAAGCAAAACACAAAACGCCCCGCAGACAGCGAGTCTGGGCCCATAACCTGTAAAGATTTGGGCGTTTTTCTAATATTGAGCAATTAAACAAAATCACTTTTTACATTAATTTATTCAAAAGTTACCCGGATTACAACAACAACAGATAATTAACACGTGCCGTTATTTTTTCAGTGTATGACAAGTGACTTTTTAACTTGACATTTTTTCAGACTTGTTACAATAAAAGACATACGTTTTACATTTACATATTCCTGACTAATCAAGGACATGACACACAGAATCATGACGTCATACTAAATACATTCATTGTTTTTAACAGCTATTTTAATAAAATCCGTTGCATCTAAGAACGCACATAAACATATCCTTGAAAAAAGTTATCAGTTAAAATGATAACTTTTTTCAAGGATATGTTTATGTGCGTGTTTGACCAGTAAAATTTTTTTGATTTTTCTCATTTTATGATTTTTTTTCCAAAAAATGAGAAAAATCAAAAAAAAAAATACTGGTCAAGCATGCACAAAAAAACATTCTTAAAAACAGTTTTTGTTAGAATTCGCTAGATGCAACTGTTTTTATTAAAACAGCATAGTCGCGAACGCGAAATGTCTATTTTTACAGCATCGAGAAGCGCACTCTTAAGCACATCTTTCAACCTTTCATCATGCTGTCCAACATTTTCTCCATAGACTGAAATGCCATCAATGTGTACTAATACCCCTTCATGATTTTTGAAAAGTCTATTAATTGTCCTTTCATGAATTTCCGGAGCTGCTGAAGTAATTCCGAAAGGTATTCTCTTGTAAATGTACCTTCCAAAAGGTGTTGAAAGGGCAGTGTAGTGCCTCGAACCTTCTGATAATGGTAACTGCCAAAAACTTGATACACAAACCAATTTTGAAAATACTTTTGCATTTCTTATTTGTGTCCACTGTTGGTAGAATAAGTTTCTCTCTAAACAAATTTATTGAGTTCAGCACGTATTCTAACTTAATCATTTGCTTTGAGGACACAAACCATCGGTGCACACCATGGAGCAGGATTATTGTAATCCACCTGCTCAACTATCTCTTGATCTACCATTTTCTCTAGCTCTTTTTAATGGGAATGCACCTCTTCTGGGTGCTAAAATTGAGTATGGCATACAGTTTTCTGTCAATTTTATTGAAAAGTTCTGGGAAAGATTTTGTGATTTTTCTCACACACTTCATTCCATTTGATATTGAAAAGGACTAAATTTCGCGTCGAATGACATTCATAAGTTTTAATTCGGTTCTTGCCATAGAGAAGTTTTTGCCATTTACTTCTTTGGAAATCAACAATAATGATATCTACCTGATGTAGTCATCAAGTTGAAGTTACACAACTAGTAAAACGTCAATTAATAAGATATTTAATAATAATACTTCATAATATTTTAGAATAACACAACAGTTGGCAAATTGTTTCTTAATTTAAAACAGATGTTATAATAATTGCTGTTAGTTAATGTGAATATTCTTGTTATGTAGGTACTTACTTTTGTTCCACCAATTCCAGTGATGGGTTTATTGCAAGCGGTGCACCGTTTGGCGAACAGCTCGCCGAAACAATCAGCGCAGAAAGGTTTCTCGTCACGGCTAGTAAAACGTTCTCCGGCCAGGCTCTTTTGGCAGTGCGTACAGGTGAAGCATTCGCGATGCCACGGTTCGTTCTTGTAGGTCACACCACCACTGGCAATAACCTAAATTGGACAAAAGATTTCTTTAAAATCATGTAATTTTCATATTATTACATTGCAATTTATTTAGGTTTTGGCAAAAGAATGAATTGAATCTGACCAATAGAAGAAAAAATGCAAAAAAGCCTCATTGAACATGTGCGCAAATGACCAAAACTAGTTTTTTGAAGTCTCCTTAACCTCTAGGTCTGCGCTCCTCCTTATTGGATACTACTATACTATATCTCTTGGACAATTTCAAGCTTCAAGAGGCAGGAGTATAGTTTTTTACAACCAATATCTATTAGGTACCTCTTACCTTATTACATTTGATACATCTCGTAGCGTACTTGTCCTCGTAGCACTTGGCGCAGTAGATTTCCTGTTCGCGCGGGATGAAGCTCTGAGTACCGATCGGCACTTTGCACACGCAACAGCAGAAACATTTCTCGTGCCACTGTCTGGTTTTGTATTCCATTTTCTTGGTTCCTGAAAATAAAAAAGGCCATTTTTGAGCAGATGTTTCGATTTCTCTGGCGCTGACAGTTTTACGGTTTTATAGGGTAAACAACATTAAAAATCTGAATTGGAATCTGGTGAAATAATTGCATTGCATCTCAATGGTTTTGAGTGAATGCCATTAAAGTCCAAAAATAGTTTCGATGTGACCCGGTTATTCGAATATCTTGGATGCATTAAAAGAAAAACGCTATGCCTGTTTGCATGATGCATTCCAATAAAACGACTTGTCTTACATTTATATAATATGACCTATTTTAGCATGTCTAGTGTATACATGAATAGAATTATTATTTTAATCAAAAATAGGTTTTTTTATATCTGAAATTTTAAACAAATATATAGTTCGTTGCACGGCACGAAGGTTTTTACTTACGTCATCGATGGCGTCATAACTTAGAGAAAAAGTTGAGTCATAGATTAATTCATAGAGCACCTTCGGAATTATTGTTTTGTAATACATTTTTTAACTTAGAATAGAGTCTATTCAATTATCCGAAAATATACATATAAATAAATTTCTCCTGGAGTGATTTTTCACTGGAAAATTTTGATATTTTCCTTCAATGAGCTCCTCACTTTCCTCTTTCTCCTGTAAAAATTTCAAAATTTTCCCGTTACCAGTTTTCCAGAGAAAAATTAAAATGTAAGAAGGTGAATTTTCCTTAATTTTGCCTAAATAAATCAATTTTCTTTGAATTTTTCCTGGAATGATTTTTCACTAGAAAATTTTGAAATTTCCCTATAATGAGGTCCTCATTTTTTTCTTTTTCCTGGAAAATGTTCAAAATTTTTCCTCTGCCAGTTTTCCAAAAAAAATTTAAATGTGAAAGGGTGAATTCTCCTTAATTTTGCTTAAATAACTCAATTTTCCAGATTTTTTTCTGGAATAAATTTTAACTAGAAAATTTTGAAATTTTCTTATATTGAGTTCCTCACTTTCCTCTTTATTCTGGAAAAATTCCACAATTTTTGCTTTGCCAGTTGTCCAGAAAAAAATTGAAATGTGAAAGGATGAATTTTGCTTTAAAAAGTCAATTTTCCAAAACTTTTCTCTCGACTTTTCTTGGAGTGATTTTTCAGTAGAAAATTTTGAAATTTTCCTATAATGAGCTCCTCATTTTCTTCTTTCTCCTGGAAAAATTTCACAAGTTTTGCTTTATTAGTTTTCCAGATATAAATTGAAATGTGAGAGGATGAGTTTTTCTTAATTTTACTTAAAAAAGTCAGAATTTTTCATGGAGCGATTTTCCATTAGAAAATTTTGAAATTTTCTTATAATGAGCTCCTGAATTTCTTTTTTTTCCTCTTTTGCCAGTTTTCCAGAAAAAAATTGAAATATGAGAGGATGAATTTTCCTTAATTTTACTTGAAAAAGTCAATTTTCCAGAATTTTCCCTGAAGTGATTTCTCCCTGGAAAATGTTGAAATTTCCCTATAATGAGCTCCTCAGTTTCCTCTTTTTCTTGGAAAATTTTCCCTCTGCCAATTTTCCAGAAAAAAATTAAAATGTAAGAGCGTGAATTTTCCTTAATTTTGCTTAAATAAGTCAATTTTCCAGAATTTTTTATGGAGTGATTTTTCATTGGAAACTTTTAAAATTTTGCTATAATGAGCTCTTTACTTTCCTCTTTTTTCTGGAAAATTTTCAAAATTTTTTTTTTGCCAGTTTCCCAGAAAAAAATTAAAATGTAAGAGGGTGAATTTTGCCTAAAAAAGTCAATTTCCCAGGTGATTTTTTTTTTAAATTTTGCCTAAATAAGTCAATTTTTTAGAACATTTTTGAGATTTCATTTTTAAAAAGAAACAAAGAATCACCCTTTGCCGTTTGTACATGATATTTAGGAACACCCTGTATAATACGCAGTTAATTAATTTATATATTTGGGACTCAAATGATTTTTTTAAGGGCCGGTATTTCAATGTCATTTTAAGATATAGAATTAACATAGACATTGACAACATTGTCTGACCTTGTTCGATGACGTCATCCTAAATATAACATAAAAACCGTATATTTTAGGGTAAGTTTTGATTTTAAGGTAATATTGTAGTATTGAAATTTTTTATTTTATAACAATAATAATTGCGAACGTGCTCTTTGAATTAATCAACGACAAATACTTTTTTCTAAATTATGACGTCATCGATGACGTAAGTAAGTACAAAAAGTGCAAAAAAAAAATAAAATAATTTGGTTGCACTATTTTTTTATATTAGTGTTAGGTAGTGCCACTGTAGGTAATTCTATGGTAGGATGCCAAATAGGAGTGCTAATTTTTGGTTTAGGGTAGCTTAGCACCCCCAAGTACCCCCCTATAGTTGCGCCTATGGAATCCATAGGTATCCGAAACTCACTAGTGACTTATACGAATTCGCAAGTTACGGTTATTGGATTAAAAACGACTATTTCTAAGAAGATTGCTTGAAATGCCTTCGAATGAAATCCGATATTGTTTTTGATGAAGAAAATCTGAAAACTTTGGTTGGAATAATTAGCGGAAGTCTTTGAGAGAAGGACTTTGAGAAAAAATTTGGAACAACTGGGTAACTTCTTTAGGCCCAGTTTCACAATATTGGTGGTAACCTACACTGGTTATCAAACTCATAGTTGCAGGTTGACTACATTGCATATCTTGAAACTTGACCAATGGTTTTGGCTAAACCACACATTATGAAACAGATATATTATAGGTTATCAGTGTCTTGTGGTTACCATTGGGTTACCACTGTTTGTGAAACTGGCCCTAAGTCTTTCCTTAAGACTTGAACAAATTAAAACCTTATCCTACGCACCAACTACTCGATAATTACTTTTCCCTATAATTCGCCCACTCAACATCATCCTAACCCATAATTTTAAACAAATTACTTTTACTTTGTTTACCAATGCAACAAAATTGAAGTGTAGGCGATGTGACAGTATGGTTGTTAAATGCCCAATAATTATGGTATACCCAAATTTATACGCCGAATAAAGGTGGGTATATTTTTTGATCCGAAAGAGGTCAGTGTCGACGGACATAAGCTGACTAATTTATCGACGACCGCGGTGGCAATGAGGTAAAAGTTAAATATTTAATATTTGCGACCTTTTCGCGCAGATACGTAAAATCTTATGTTGTATGGTGGCCTTTTAAGGAATTGTTTATTACTTATTGTGTACTCGACTATAATTATTTATTTGCCCAGTTTTATGGATAAATTTTATGTGTTTTCTTGAACCGTAAGATAATATAACCATGAGGTTGATTTGAAGTTTTCCAAAAAAACATTTCTAAATAGAAATGACTTCACTGGATACATGTTTGTAGAGGTTCAATAATATACAAGTGGATAATGTATTTTTGCAAAATAACTCATTATTATCGGTTATGGGATTAATTAATTTATTGTGCTAATCGTTGTTTGCAATTTTTACGATCAATAACGATGTATGATTAATTGGACAAGCTAAACAAATAATAATTAGCACAATAACAACTATCTACATCATACATGAATGTGTGAGTATTAAAAATTATAATTTTTTCAGATATGGACAATTAAATTGTTGAATATTCTTGTTTTGAACATCATGGATAATTTTGAGTTTTTTAAAGAGGTTGTGGGCTCAGAATGGCAGTCAGTAATATATTCAGGTATTAGGTATACCTATCCCAAACCAATAACTAAAACTTTTGGAAAATTTTCTGATCCAACCGTTATGATTTTATGAATGTTCCAACATAGGTACTGGGTACTGTATTGGAACTCTTTACACTCAGAAACCAACTCCATGGTTATAATATCGAATCCAACTATGAATATTGAAAACACAATGCCTAATTTAATTATTGCTAATTGCTTTTAGCACAAACAAACCAAAGCATTTATTTTATATTTTTGCGCTCATGCGTCACACCTCAAAATTGGAAAGTATATTTTCGTTTAGTCTATCTTCGTTAAGTGTAATAATATTTGCTTGCGTATATTCACATGTTCTAATCAACTTCATGTGTGCATAGCAATCGCTTGAAGTGTTAATTAACTAATTGCATTTAGTTGATAGCTAATCAATTATGATTTATTACAATGAAATTTAAAGAATTTAGGTTATTTATGATTAATTAAAGCTAAAATTCCTCTACTTTTTTTTGCGATAGGTTCTGTATAATAATTTTAACCCGCAGTAGTTTCAATAACAATAAGTTATAAACCCAGAGAGAAAATCTATACCTAACTTGTTTCAGACTTTTTTCTCAATATGTCTTAAATTTCCTTTCCAGTTTCAATTTTTTTTATTTTTTCCCGAATATTTGTTTTCTTTTAAACCTTTTCAAATAAGGAAAATTGAAAAAATACGAGAGTCTTGTTGCAATGTTTGCTCAATTTGCCTTGAATTTCCTCTCCTAGCTATGTAAATTTTTGTCTAGGTGTCCTGGCTCTCGAATTTTTATTTTATTCTGGACTTCTTCAGAGAAAGTCCAAAGAATAGAGAGGACATAATATGAGGGCTGAACGCCAACGAGGAGCAAGAAACAAAATATCCAGAAAAATTATTTCTTATTACTGAATATCACATTAACAACCAATAGGTACAGCAACTTTGTTTAAGGATAAGGAGTTAAGCTCTCATTTAAAGTCTTCACGAGTACTAAAAAAGTCCAGGGTATTGACCTCATTGGAGATTCGGGATGCTCTGGAGATAAAAATATTCGAACCATAGTTAGTCCGGTGGATCTTTTCTGAGAAGGTAGTGGAAGAGCGTGTGGTTTTTGCTGGGGCATGAAGTCCAATAATTCTGTATATAAGGTATTTGGAATCGTTGTGAGAGTTTAGTATTTTGAAAAATGTTAATAAATCACTCTGATTTTGTCTGGCGGCTAAAGGTGCTCTAGCTTTAGCAAAATCGGTATATATGGAGTGAACAACTCCACCGCTTTCAAGAATCCCTGATATTTTATCCTGGTACGTCAGGAGGTTAGTTT